GGTAGATAAGTTAGTAACACAAGTGAGACAATTGGAAGAAAATAAAGGAGCCAACATTGGGACAATGATTGCTTTTGAGTCAATCGCCCATGCCTTCTTCTTATGTAATATTATATATGAATAATTTATTTCTCATGAGAATGATGAACTCGACAAAGCAACCATTATCATCCCACCATCAACAAATGTGAGGTTCAAATATAGCTATGTCACATATGTTATGTCCAAATTTTCTTTCAAATGTTCCCTTCATTTTTCTTCCATTTGGTGGTTTTTATTATTCTAATGTTTGGCCTCATCATAACATTATTTTCGCGTGATAATAGATGTTGGTGGGCTATTTGATCACTTTGCCCTTTTTTATCCTAAAAATTGCCACTTTGCTCTTATCCTAAAACTATATACCAATCTATCCCAACTTGACCAATATACTCGAGTATATAACCATATACTCGAGTATATGAAGTCCCATGAACATATACTGGGGTATATAACCCAGAAACTCGAGCATTTTATATTCTTGGGTATGTACTCGAGTATATGGTCAAGAGAATTTCAAATTTATTTTCTCCGAAACGTTTCCAATGTGTAGCTCTCAAAAGTTATGTGGAATAAAAAAGCACTTGATTTGAACACCCGAGTCAAAAATTGTGACATTCCAAAGTTTTATTCTAAAATTTCCAAAATTTTGTAATGCCAATAGGTTTTGTGATACCCACAAAGCTCCTCCTCATGTTACCCATAATATTGGACTCGGCTCGAGTAACCTGAGGAAGAGCTTTGCAGGTATCAATAAACCCATTGGCATTAAAAAATTTTGGAAATTTTTGAATAAAACATTGGAAGGCCATAACTTTTGACTTTGGTATCCGAATCAGGTGGTTTTTTTTATTTCACATAACTTTTTGAGAGCTATGCGTTGAAAATGTATCGGAGAAAATTTGAATTTTTTTTACCATATACTCGAGTACATGCCCAATACGGTTGGCAAAACAGACCAACCTGACTTGACCCAGCCCAACCTGCATGCAACCAGAAAAAATGAGCCGGGTTAGGGTTGACTCGAAAAAAAATGAGTCAGAAAACCCAACCCGACCCAAGTCGGGTTAGGGTTGGCTCGAACATATGCTCGTGGGTTGGCTTGAAAAAATGGCTCTCGGGTTAGCTCAAAAATTGGCTCTCGTGTTGGCTCAAGAATGACTCACGGGTTGGCTTATTTTCAGCCTATTTAAATGAATTTGTAGTATTAATGCACCAGCTATGTGGCTTCCATTAGCTTAAATAATACAATTATCTTACAGAATAGTTTATAAAAAAAAGCAAAATAGGAAAAAGTTACAGAATGAGAAGCAAAAGCAAAATGATCTAGTTGCGAATTTTCTTCACAACAAATTTGCACCAAACAGAGCTAGCACAGCCTAACAATATAAAAATGGCAACGATGTAAGAAGATTAGGGACTTAGGTTTAGAGAAGGAAGAAAGACGATGACAGCGTGTGTGGGTTTTGGCCATTTTTGTATATTTTATTTTGAAAAAAAAAACTCAACCCGCGAGCTGGCCCGTTTGACCCGCGGGTTGGCTCATTTTTTCCCGAGCTGACTCGGGTCGGGTTGGCAGCTCATTTTTGCCAACCCAACCCGACTCATTTTTTATGAGTTACGAGCCAACCCGACGGGTTGGCTCATTTTTGCCAACCCTAATGCCCAGGAACAAAAAATACTCGAGTATCTGGGTCATGTTCTTGGATATATGTTTATGAGACTTAATATACTCGAGTATATGCTAATATACTCAGTATATTGGTCGGTTAACGGTCAAATAGGGGCAAAGTGATACTTATAAATGAAAAAATGGCAAAATGGTCAAAAAACCGATGTTGGTGCCATATATTGGTTTAAGATGAAGTCTCAAGTGTTACTAAATATCTTTCCCCTATCGTAGAATAATATATCATTTTTTTTCATTGAGCACACAACACGCTCATTTATCAATCAACATAATACAAAGTCCTTCATTTTCAAAAGCCACATAATACCATAATGTTGGGTTACAAGAAAAGAGATGGAAACCAAGCATTTATTATGTATATTTGATAGGTTTGGACCAAATTAAGAATACCTCAAAAAGAAAAAAGATGACGTTGCTCACTCAACAACGAGCACATTTTTTGTGCATCAGATATACCATACGTTTGTCCGAAAAAAGTAAAAATTTGGGATTTGATGGAAAATACTTAAAAATATATGGATTAAATGGGGAAGAAAACTTTCTCTTTTTGGTAAAAAGATGTAGCCACTTGAATACATCCTACGTACAAAAGAAATTTTTCCCTCAACAACAAACACATTCACTTTTCATCTTTTCCTCCACCAATAAAGTCCAACCCTTCATATCAACATCTTATTTAGTAGCGAGGAGACAATTCTCTATGACATGGCTGCAAAGGAAGGGGTTCGAGGAAGAGAAACAAGGGGATAAAACAAAATGACGAGGATAAAGAAGTTGAAAATTAATAAGAAGAGAAAGGAAACTGAAAAAAGAAGTCATGTGCCAATTTATTCAAATAAATTAGGACCATTAGATTTTAACAAAATGGAAGGCTCGAATGAAGAGTAAAACTTAAACTGTTATATTAGAGTAAAGAAAATCCTCCCATATATATATATATATGTGTGTGTGTGTGTGTGAAAATTATTGTCTCATTTTACATTAGATAACTATATCATGTTCTTTTTACATAAAAAGTTGTGTCATCATTTTTTTCTTTTTTTAACGAGTGATAGGCCTCACCATATCATGAGTCTATGGTTGGTAAGAAATACTTATCTCCAACAACATGAGAGAAATAAAACCAATATATATATAGGGGCAGGCAGTGACGGACACAAGAATTTTAATAAGAGGGGGCGAAAATAAAAAATATTATATCATAAATAAAAGTACTTAAAATACAATACAAATTTAATATACAAAAAATCGAAAAAAAAATCTATTACAGAACTTAATATCATTTCACTTGACTCTTGCTCTACGTGTTTTCATATTGTTAAACTCATCTATAATTAAATCAGTGCTGAAACTCAAAACAATTTCTTTTTCAATGCATGTAATCAAAGAAATATATGGTAAGAGCGAGGTCATCTTATGTACATTTGTAGTAGGTATATCTGCCATTTAACAGGTGACACTTGGATAAAAAAAATGTTTTTCTCTCCTTTCTATACAAGCATGACAATTATTTCTCATTTTTTATTGGATAGATGCACTGAGCGAATGGTACAATAGTAGTACTACAGATATTTTCGGTAAGAGCGTGAGCAGAAGCATGGAAAACTGAAGGGAAAAGCATGTACAACACAATAGTTTCATCATCACATTTTTTTTTACATATATTATATAAAAAAAATTCCCAAATTTAAGGGGGGCGGGGCCCCACCCTAACTCCCTACTCCGTCCGCCCCTGGGGGCAGGATATACTTACCACCAAAAAAGTTTACCACATTTACAACCAATCTAATCACCGTTGATTTTCGTCAATCTAACAGTTATAATTTATTGGGGATAATAATTAATTAATAAATGCGATTCAACAATTTCCAATAAATGATAACCGTTAAATTTACGAAAATCAACGGTGATTAGGTTGGTTGTAACTGTGGTAAACTTTTTTGGTGATAAGTATATCCTTCCCCCTATATATATATATATATATATATATATATATATATATATATAGTTTTTTTTCTATGATACAACTCAAAACTATTCTTTAATCAACCTATCTTTATTGTTGACTTAGAAAAATGTTTTGACTATATCTAGTTATAATTCCATATCATCTGACCGTGGATGAAAGTGAAACTGTAATAGAACAAATAAACAACAGCCATTCTATTTAGAAGAAAAAAATGTTATTAAATGTCAAAATAGATATTATAAAGAGTAGTTTTGGCTCACTTATTCTGTTTATAATATTCGGATAATTTGAATCCGAATTATCCTTAAGTTATGTTTTCTTTTACTAGAAAACCAATTATATTTCCTTTATGCTGCTCATTAATTGCAATAACTTTTCATTGAAAATTTTAAATAAAATTATTGTAAAAAACTCTGAAACAAAAACAAAGTAAAATTAATGCAGGCAGACAAAGAAAGTTAAATCAGAGAAAGAATAAAAATCTAGTTGAAGAATAAATGAATAAATCTTTGGTATTATTGATGTACCAAATATTTAGTGCATCTTACCAATAAAAATATTACATGTCAGTTAATTTTTTTTTTCTGTCAAACTTTTTCTCTCTCCTTTGATGTGTAAAGTTTTTAGTGATGTGATGCACTGAATCTAAGTACAACAGTAAATACCAAAGATTTATTCTAAATAAATCTTTGGTACTACTGTTTAGAGCATCTCATTTGATATTGATGGTCCACGTGGCACCGTGTTTTTGTTTTTTTGTTTGTTTTTGGGTGTAATGCACCGTGTTTTAATCAACCTATCTTTATTGTTGACTAGAAAAAAATGTTTTAACTACACCTAGATATAATCCCATATCATTTGACCGTAGATGAAAGTGAATCTAGTCACAAATAACACAAATAAATAACAGCCCTTCTTTTTAGAAGAAAAAAATGTTAGTAAATGTCAAAATCGATATTATAAAGAATAGTTTTGTCCCACTTATTCTGTTTATAATAAATGGATAATTTGAATTCGAATTATCCTTGTGTTATGTTTCCTTTTTCTTGTTTTTTCCTACAAAACAATTATATTTCCTTTATACTACTCATTAATGGCAATAGCTTATCATTGAAAAATTTAAATAAAATCATTGTAAATTTTTTTGAAACAAAAACAAAATAACATTAATGTTTTCGCGGACAAACAAAGTTAAAACAGAAAAAAATAAAATAAACAAACAAGTACACGTGGCACCGCGTTTTCTGTCTCTCTCTTACGGCTGCGTTTACCAATGGGGTTGCGGTCTTTCTTTGTTCACTTGCTTTTCTTTCTAAACTCTTTTTTAGTGTTCTGTGCTCGTAACTACAACTTGATCTCCAAGCTTTTCTTTTCCCGTTTAGAAAAAGCACTTTTTTCCCCAAACTTCCGGCAGCGTTTTAGATGGATTTAGTTGGCCATGAATCACATACCTCGAATTTTCGGTCATAGAAAGCAAGATAAGGGCATGGACCCGAAGAAGACCCGAAGAAAACAACCGAAGCTCGAGCGTCGCAATGCCGTAAAGTACTCCAACTACGACGCCGGAGCTTTGCCGTCGTCGTCGTCGATGGACTCCTCCGGTTCCGCCTCCGCCGCGCCGCTCTACACCCGATCCATGGATTTCTACGACCGGACTAGCTTCCGAATCGAAGGAGTCGAGGGGGAATTCGACCGGATTTGCCGGAGCCTTGGGCTCTCCGGGCCGGAGGATTTCTCCATCCCGGCGGCGGCGTGGGAGGCCATGAAGGTTCGGTCTTCGTCGGATATTTTGCCGAGGCTTAAGCTCAACGATTTGGATGAAGCACGTGAGAAAGAGGAAATAGGAGTAGCAGAGTGTGAAGATAAGGTTCCGACGGTTAGGGTTTTTGATGAGTGTACCGTTCCTGAGACCAGTGGTTGCTGCACCGCCGGCAGCGGCGGCTGCGGCGGCGGTATCAAGGGGGTTCGGCCTCCGATGCTTAAGCCGCCTCCGGGGATTAGGGTTTCGGTCGTCGATAACACGTGCTCCACGTGGGACCTTTTGAGGGATTTTGCTCCGGGAGGGGAAGGAGGAAAGGAAAATTACGGGGTGTTGAGTGCTTCAGATGATGATGATGATGATCGTGAAGAGAAGGAAAAAAAAGGAGAAGAAGAAGAAGAAGAAGAAGGGGGAGTTGGTGGGGTTAGATTGAAGAGAGAAGAGGAGGAAAATGCAGCAAGGATTGCGGATATTGTTAGTGATCTTTCGGGTTTCACTACGTCAAACGAAGATGATTCCTCAAGCACTACCACGGATCCTAGGTCCAATAATATATCTCCTAACACGAGAATCAAGCGTATTATTACCCCCGGCAGCTGGCAAAAGGGTGAGCTTTTGGGGCGTGGTTCCTTTGGCTCTGTTTATGAAGGAATTTCTGAGTAAGTGGTTTAATGCTTTTCAGTTGTCCTCTCTCGTTTCTGTTATTACCACAATAACCCTTGTTTATTTACTTTTTTAATTGTGTGATGTTATTGTTTTCCTTTAATGGGAGAAGGTAGTTATTAGTTATGATACTATGGTATGGAATGCTAGTTTTAGGTTTTTGGGAAGGTTAGTTTAAGAATATTGCTGGGTGGGTTTGGATATTGAAAATAAAAATAGAAAGGGCTCTGCACTGCTATTATGAATGTCAAGGTATCTGTCTAATGGAAAAGAGGATGGAGAAATATTCTTGTTTATATTTAACTAACAATTATCGTCTGAAATACTATTTTCAAAATAAATAGTAGCTAATTGTCACAGTGAGTAGAATAAGAAGTGGAATGAGCTCGTTGAATCCAAGAGGCCAATGTTTGTTGAACTAATAGCTCTGAAATTTTTATTTTGTATATTGAAACATAACTAAGGTTGTTGGAAAATATTTTCGCACTTTAGATAATATGGTCAATCATTTCATTTCCTTCCCTTTTATAACAGTAAAATTTTGGGACAGAGTAGGAGCAAAAGAAATTTTGAACCCTTTTGTATTTTTGGTCAACATTTTGCTGAAAAAGAAAGAAAGAATGGCTATAACATCCCTTTGTTGCATGTCTTGGGCTCATTCCTTTTTGTCTTTGGTTGTCTGGTTTGATGTTTCAAAGGGTCTGACCTTGCTATTGGTTTTAATTTTTTCTTTTCTAAATACTCTAGATTCTTTCAAACCTTTGGCCATTCTTTACGGCCTAGGATTTCCTATAATGTGCAGCCTGTGTATTGGGTTTGGGTAAACTGTTATCAGTCTATGACTGCTAAAAATGGTTTTGGTTTCTCAAATGCCATTATGTATTTGCTCTATAGCTCATCCTGATTGGGAAATCTAGGCGATGCAAGCATTATATGAATAATCTTGTGTTTCCCCTTAATTGAATGGTGAAATTAAGTTGTTCATTTAGCCACTCTGTGAAATTATCATCTAATGTCTTCTATTCAAAATGCTTCAATTTTTTGGATCTGATTCTGTGCAAAGCTCTAAATAAATTGAAGATTTTGGGGTTTGATGTTTGTACTTGTTATGTTAATGCTAACGGCTAGGTTTTTCTTTTTCTTTTCCTTTTAAAGCTACTTAAGTGCTAACTAGTTTTTTTTCAAATGTCTGATTACCACTGTAGAGATGGAAACTTTTTTGCTGTAAAAGAAGTTTCGCTGCTTGATCAAGGGAGTCAGGGAAAGCAAAGTATCTATCAACTGGAGCAGGTTAGACAGGCTTTCTCTTTCGATTGCTTTATAATTTTTGTCATACTTTACCTTTCTATTAATGAAAATCCTTTTTGCCGAAAAGAAAATAAAGTGTTCTCACCGAATATTATGTTGTCTTGTGCTAAATTTATCATGAATAAGTTATCTCAGAGGCTGAAGCTATTAGTTGAAAGAACTTGAATAATTTTATATCTATCATACCTTTTCATGCAAGATCCCTTTAGGCTTGAACCATGGACACTGCACAAGTCCACATTACCTTGTGCTGAAATTTAACTTTTATTTATGGTCATAGAGGCTTTGATACTGTATTATGAACTAACTATCCTAAAAGCTTAAGTTTTTGGATGAGGGCACATGAATGGTTTTATATCTAACAATATCTGATAAATTTTTTGAATGGAGATTAAATCTACTGGCCTATTTACTTTCTCCTTAATATTTTCCCCACTATATTTCTTTTCTCTCACTCTGCTTCTTTTTCCTCCCTTTCAGGAGATTGAGCTCTTGAGTCAGTTTGAACATGAGAATATAGTTAAATACATTGGGACTGAAATGGTACTTTTCATCTGATCATCTCTTGTCTTCTCGTCCATGTATATTCAAATAGAAATTTCTTGTTTATCATTGTTGTTGAATCCATGTTGAAAGTTTCCATCACAGATTATGTTAAATGTAATAGGTCCTTATGCATCTGAAACATGTTACTGGAGGCTTTCAGTATAGTGGAAAATTTGTAGATTGGGTTGGGATTAGAATTGTGTTTGATAATGCCTCCCCTCTGAGTTAAAAATGAGAGTATTTGCATGACATTTTATATTTAAATGATGTCATGATAGGCCATGAATGTAGCCTGATATTTTTATCACAAAGGATCCACAAACTGCAATAACTAAGAATGTAAAAGAAATATCAGACCACCAGGAACTAAATCATTTTTGTAATATTTTGGGATGTTCCAATGATAAGTTAGTATCATTCTAAACTTTATTCTGGGTGGGAGAGTTTTTTCATCTAACAGAATAGAGCATATGCTTCAAAATGAAATTACTTTTCCTGCATTTGGTTCAACTGCCAGGGTGTTGTGTACCTGACTGCAATACAAAGGGACGAAAATTTAAACACTGTGCTGTGTAGTGTGATGTACTCTGTGAAGCTAGGAACTGGTCAATTTTAAATTGGTAGCATATGAAAGCAGGAATCAACATTAGATTATATGTTGCATGGCAAAACATTTGAATACTGTGGGATCCGTCAATTATTTTCCTTAGTTATGCTGTGGTGTTTTGGCCAGATTTTGTCAGCTAAAAACAAGTTTAGCTCCTCTCAATCTATTTGTTTTTGTAAGGCTTGTTATTTTATCCTATAACTACTGCCTTGTGCGAATGGTAGTTTGTACTTTACACTCTGCTTGTTGTTTGTTGCAGGATGAATCAAACCTGTATATCTTTCTTGAGCTTGTAACCAAAGGTTCCCTTGCAAACCTCTACCGGCAGTATAAACTTCGAGATTCCCAAGTATCCTCCTATACAAGACAGATTTTGCATGGTCTAAAGTATCTTCATGATCGAAATATTGTTCACAGGTGACCCCAGAATTTATTTATATATTTGTTTGCTTTCTTCTGTGATATAGACGACTTCTGGCTTTCTGGTAGTCTCAGACAAGAGCCATGTGTGTGGTTCTTGCTTTCATTGCATCAAAGAAACTTCCACTTGCTGTGTCTTATTTGCTTTATCAATATTTTACTGAAATGATTTTTGCAGTATTCGTGTTTCTTTTTATTCTTGTTATTAGACTGCGTTCCTTTGGGCAAACATCTCTTCATTTTCATTGCCTGGAATACTTTTTACATATTTCTGAGGACTGTGAAGGGTTCCATATATTTGGCCATAGAAGAGAGGAGTGGAAAGAAGAAAAGTATACCAGGGAGTATCATCCTTGTTATCCTTTTCTTGCCTCAAATAAATACCCTTTAATGCTGATTCGTATTCTAGTATTTGTGGAGGACTTGTTATGTATTTTCAGTGATTGATTACTTCAAACTTTTGCTGGATGTGAATTTTCTCCAAAAGGAAAATCCTTTTCATTAGTAGTAGACTAGTTTAAGAGGTTGAATGATTTGCCAAATCCAAAAGGAAAGGTGATAGCCCCCCCCCCCCCCCCCCTCCCCGCGAAAAAAAGTATTTAAGCTCTAGCTGTAGAGTTATTTCCACTTGTCCTTGGAACTTGAAATCGCATAAACATACTTGTCATATAAGGGTTTCAGTTTTGGAAATTGAAATGCAGAGTTTTCTCTTCGGGTTAAGATCACAATTTCTGTATTTCTGCATCGCTTGTGTAATGTCACGAGCAATTTTTGTAAATATAATCTAATTATTTTCCCCCTAATTGAAGGGATATTAAATGTGCAAATATTTTGGTGGATGCCAATGGATATGTCAAGCTTGCAGATTTTGGATTGGCAAAGGTGATCTTTATTAGTTTATGCTCCTCTTTCATTTGTTTCTGTTGTAATTTTATTTCAATTACAGGTATCTGAACAATCTTCAATTGCTTATCATTTCCGTTTTCTAATATTGCTTTATGCCTATTGCTTTTCAGGCGATCAAATTGAATGATGTTAAATCTTGCAAGGGAACTGCATTCTGGATGGCCCCGGAGGTTTTCCTTCAATCTTCTCTTCTGAAGAGAATTATCTTTTCTTGAGTTTTATGCTTTTGTTTAGCCATGGACCTGACACCTATTGAATGAAATTAAATTGTCATACAGCTACCAGAAGCTGTATGGACTTAACATGCTACTGGTCTAAATGCTTGCTTTTGCTCATCTATGATGTTATTGGGGGTCTCATCTAGACTCTAAGAATATTATTGTTTCATATGGAAATCCTACCATACAAAATCGATTATGCAACAATGGCTTATGTATCACTTTTGTAACACGGTTATTAGAAAAGCTGAAAGAATGTAACGCTGGAGTGTTGCATGGACATCAAGATGTAATATAATACATTGTTCTATACATATAAAATCACTTCCTATTAAACCACCACTAACGACGGTGGGGCGAAGGCAATCTTTGTACGCAGCCTCACCCTTGCATATTTGAAAAGAGATTTATTGGATTCGAACCTTTAACCTTTTAGTCACAAAAGAGTAGCTTTATCAGTACTCTAGGCTCGCCCTCTTGTTCTATACATATAGCAAAGCATAAATTTATAATCACAAGAAGTTTTCTGGGTTTCATTGAGTAAATTACAAGGTCATCTTCTGAATCAGCCTACTCTATTGTACTGAACTCCTTTTTTCTTTTCCATTGTCCCATTTGTAATGAATTGATGGATATAATTAGTGATAGCGGTGTTGTAGTTATTCTTGTTTGTTTCAAGAATTTGTTACTGTTTCATTTTTTGATGTATCATTTTCTGATTTCTCAATAGTATAGCTAGTGATTATTATGCTGTACTGCTGTAATATGCAGGTTGTAAAAGGAAAGAATAAAGGTTATGGGCTTCCAGCTGATATATGGAGTCTGGGATGCACTGTATTGGAGATGTTAACAGGCAAAATTCCGTACTCTCATTTGGAATGCGTATGTATCTCGTTATTACCACTTTCACTAGCATTACCATTTCCAGCTCATAGTAGGGGTTGTCATACAACCCGACTTTATCCTTTTTACCGTATTGTGTGCCCACTTTTGTCTCAAGTCACAATTTCAATTCTGCTTTTATTTCCAATCTCTCTCTCTCTCTCTATATATATATATATATATATATATATGTATGTGTGTGTGTGGAACATTGCATTACTGCTGTTTTTGACTTGTAAGTTTTGATGAATCTCTTCTGACAACAGATGCAGGCGTTGTTTAGAATTGGAAAAGGTGAACCACCTCCTGTGCCTGATTCTCTTTCGATAGATGCTCGAGATTTCATCCTGCAATGTCTAAAAGTTAATCCAGAAGATCGTCCCACTGCTGCTCAACTCTTAAACCATACATTTGTCCAAAGGCCACTTTCCCAGTCTTCTGGCTTTGCATCTCCTTATATTCCCAGAAGAAGGGGCTAAACTTGTCATCGCCAACTATGAAACATAATGAAGGTAAAGATTGTTACATACTATATCATTATGTTGCCTTGTTGTACCTGAATTCATATCAAAAGCCATTGTCATTGCTGTCCATCCTTTTAAGAATTTGCACTCATAACTAATGTCATCTTTTGGATGGAGACAAAATTTCTAAGATGCTTTTAGTTTCAGTAGTATTGGATGCACATATGATGCACATGCCTTGAGTTGGGTGGGGTTCGGGTGGGGTTCAGGTGTGGTGTCATTCTTATTTGGTGGCAAATAGTCATGCCGATAAATAATTTCTGAAATAAGAGGAGAGAAACCTTTCTAACCCGTCTGTGGTGGAATTCTCAAGTGGCATATTTCATTTATTCAAATCATTGTTGCATGCGTTGATTTTATCTTCTTCACGGGCTTATTCTTTTGCTCTTGATGACAGATCTGTTGTTCATTGGATTTAAAGTATCTCCAATGTTCAGTCTTCAAGTTGCTGGAGTTGGTCTGTTGTAGCAATTGTTGGTCGTGTTGAAGCCTGTATTTCAGAGTCAAACCCTTTCTTTCAATTTTGCTTGCTTGTAACTTATTCAATTTTTTAAGCACTGCTTTGGATCTAACAATTGATATGGCACTACAGTGAACTAAGTTATACACTAGGCTTGAATATCATATCTGAGAATTATGGTCGAGGTGTTATCTAATTACTCAATGATGATGTGTCTGTGGTAGCAAGCTAAATTATCAACGTCAAGCTGCCAAAGGTTGCCCTGGTTAACCATTGAAAGAATTTATAGGCTAAACCTCTGGGAACTGTCGTAGTAAGAGTTGGATACCTTGGTATTTGTACATATTACTTTCATTAGTAAGCAATTTTTGTGTACATACTCCCTGAACTTTTTTATTTTATTTTATTTTATATTTGCTTCTTTTTCTACTTTCATTTTGACCTTGCTTATTCAAATCTTAAACGAGATGTAATGATTGGTTGGTTTTATGTTTTCTGTCGTTGGTGGGATAAACTGAGTGGCGGAAAGTGTGGAAATATAGAGAAATAATTATATCATGTTGTAAGAAATTGGTTGTGTCATGCTATAGACACAACCAATGTGAATCCCACAATTTCCTATAACATGATACAACTATTTTCCAATACTATAAGGGCACAAGTTTATAATGTTTTTTCGTTCTCTCCGACAATTTTTAGTCTGCAATAAAACCCAACACTATTGGCTATTTGCAATCCTAGCTCGCAAGAAGTGTAAAAGGAAATAGTTTTGCTCATAACATAACGAGTGCTTTTGAAGCTATTGATACTCAATAAAATAAATATGCTGGCTCTTAGTATTTTTGTTATTTTTTGGATCAGACAGATATTTAGATCCCTTAGTATAAGAGTAGTGTTTTATCTTTGGGTGTGATGTTTGTCATATTATAAGAGATAAAATTATTTTTTACATATACGTAAAAGTATGTGGGGTTTATGTGAGCACATGTGAAGAAAAAAGAAAAAAACGTATGAGCTTCACATATTTTTATGTGTGTAAGATATAATTTATTTCATATAACATGAGAGAGACATTAGAGCATTTATTTTTTCTCAAGAATGTGAGGCTATTAACAACAATTATTTCGGCTATAAAAAAAAAACAATTATTTCTTCCCCTTGCACCGTCTGTGACGCTGATGGATCAATGGGGATACCCATGAAATTCATCGAATCCGTTAAGATAGTTGAATTGAGAACATCGGGTACAGCTTTAGCCTGCGCCATGAGACATCACTATTCATTAATCATTAGGCCGTCCATTTTTTATTTTGGTGGTTGCTAGGGCAATAGCCCAAATTAGGCCGTCCATTTTTATTTATACTATTTTTAGTTAAATGATGACCAATAGTCAAGTAGATAGAACGAAACAATTTATATTGAGAATATTCTTGGTTCCACCATGATTAATTAGATGCCAAAGAGAAGTCTCGACTACGAAATATTACCTGCAACACATAAATCCATACCTCCTAACTCCTAAGGTATGCAACTAACTAGGGATGTTAACGGGATGAGCCGAGCCGAGCCGAGCTTTGGTCTTAAAAGGTTAAGCCTGTGTTTAAATGTGTCGGCCTTACCAAGCCTGTTACCTGTTACGAATATAATTATCGGCCTGTGACCTACTTTATTTACAAAAAATAAAAGCCTGATTTAGCGTGTTAGCATGTTAGAAAAGAATAAGACAACAAAACTTTATCCAAACAGAATATACAATCAACAACACTAGTAATTCCATAAATATTCATAAATTCAATATATATCCAAACAGCATACTATAGAACAAAATCATATCATTTAAAAAGTCTGTTTAACTAATAAAATCGAGGTGAAATGGATTGAGAGGAGAGAGAGGGCTATTATAAATAGTATAAAAATATAAATAAAAATAAAAATTAATATACTAGGCCAGCCTGAGAGGCTCCAAGGCCGAGCTTTTGAATTGGAGCCTGAGGCCTTTTTACTAAACGAGCTTTTATACAAGTCCAAGCCTTGTTCCAACAACCAATATTAAGCATGTAAGCTCAGGCCTTCACGAGCCGAGCCAAAGGCTCCTGAAAGGCACCTGACTCGTTTATCACCCTCTACAATTAACTTCACCAATTTTTTATTTTTATTTTTTTAAAAAAAGGGTATGCAAGTAGAAGGGTAGGCTCTGAGATGTGTAATATATTTGTCCTTTTAATCCTTCAAAGTATTGTGGGACGGCTTGTACAATAAATTACTAGTTTGCTATCTAGTCCTGCATCAGTTCAAGAATGATCTATCCACAACATAACATATGGACGGGCGTTTTTCTCTCCCACTTTTATAACCTTCCGAATCTTGAACTAAGAACTACCATGACATTGATGATGATATATAGTATCTGTACGTCTAACCGTTTGTACAAAATAACGGATCTAGTAGAACCAGTCTTCCAACCATCCATTAACGTGTATAATATCAATTTTTACACCACCTTTGTTTTTGTTTTTATTTTTATTTATAAACTCAACATTATTATTAAGCTTGAGATTTCTGCTACAGGGAATGACAATTGGAGTAGAGAGACCATAATCAAACATCAAAGTCAAATGATAAGTTTCAAGATGATGCAAGAAAAAAAAAAAGGACATAGGAATCGAAATTATCTGTTGCCCTACGTGAGATCACGATCTTAATCTTCTTTATCACTTGATATCTTTGCATGACAGTTTTCTCAACATGTTCTTCAGTTTCCTCTGAAAAAAAAAAAAAAAAAGGACATTAAATCCAAATCAAAAAACACAATCAGGCCATTCTGGGTACTATTATCAGAATGTAACATAACATGAAACATAACTATCCACAATGTGTGATCTCATATATTACCAAAAACGGGTAACAGTTGTTTCGGCTTCCCTTTCTCTTCTTGGACCGGCTTGTAATTTCTTTGCTCTCTTTGGGTTCCACGCATTCATGTCTGCACCAGGTACTTGAGCTTGGTGGCATTTGTGTAGAAGGCGAGCATATTCGAATCGGTTGAGATAACCATAATCGCTTCTGCTAAAATTTGCAAGATTTCTAAAAGTTGATATGATGCATGGCATGCACCCATTTCCCTACACATTCCTTTTATTTGAAGAAAGCCAAGTAGTTGCCAGAGAAGAAAAGAGAGAACTTGCCTTGCTTCTAGGCTGTGACTGATTGCGTGGCAATTGAACTCCAACCTTTTCGGACCCTTCATTTCTGAGATGTCTAGAATAAGCAAGAAGCTGAGCCCTGCGATCATAGCATCGTGTTCCTGAAGCTTGCAGCATTCTGAAATGTGGGTGTGGCTTAGTTTTCTTCACTGGATCCTCTGATACTTTACTTGAGCGAGTTCTTGATGATTCTGCATAGACTTTGATCACCACTCCGTTTGGCATGGTGTTTCTGTTTTGCATATTCTTTTTCTTCTCTGCCATTTCGAAGGATGGATGAATCAGTGTTGGAAATGGAAGTTTAACTCCAATGTATCATGATGGGAGAGATATATATATCAGAGATTTTATTGTCAGAGGGTTCTGTTGTTTTCAGAACATATATGGATGTGAACTTTCAGGAAGATACCTCTGCCATTCACATATCATGAATTGCCCTGAAAACAACAAGAGAGTGAAGACCCTGGAGACAATGGATTTTGGAATTAAAAACTTGTACTTTATATTATCAATTGAGATTATGATCTGTTGGGTTGCAACAAGCATACATGATTTAGATTTTTCTTTTTCTTTTTTCTTTCTTGAATCGTATTTGTGTCCTTTACTATTCAGGTCCAACCAAAATCTGAGCCCAAGTTCATTTTATAATTTATACTCTTTCTTTGCTATTTTTTTAATTTTGGAAATATTCTTTGCTATTTTTTTTTTAAAGAACTGTTTAGCTCTTTCTCTAATATCTGTTCGGCCCTGGCCCATGTTTATTTTGAGCCTGGAGCTCTTTGGGCTAGCTGGGAGAGGCCTAGAAGCTCTCAATTTACATAATCTGTTATGTGTGTGTGAGGTACGTACGTAAGTATTATAGAGCATTAGCATGAGCCTCCTGTCCAAATCAAGTAGTGAAAATGGAGAATCATGACCTTGCATACCAAACAACAAAAAAGACTTTTAATCAATTGATTTTTAACATTAAGAGCAGATTGATTTTTACATTGAAGAATGGTACTAAACTAAACTAATCTAAATTTATTTGGTTTATTTCTGTTTAATCAATTTTTAATATAACATTCTTTAAAAAATTCATACATTACTTTTATTTTTTACTTTTCATAAGTTAATCTTACCACAAATTCACTTAAATTTTTAATAAAAAAACATAATTATTACATACGAGATTGAAAAATCCCTCATCTGATGAAAAAGGGTATATCATATTTCCTGAAGATCTTTTTTTTTTTTTTTTTTTTTAACTTGTATAATTGTATTCCCAATTTTATACTTTTGATCAGGTTCCCCTTTGAAGCATATTTAGTGACTTTACCTTACTTCACGACAAGATGTTTGTCGTAAGGTTTTAGGAAAAAATATATATATATATTTTTTTGTATAACAGGAAAAAATATTTTTGTTTCTATAGCAGAAATTCTTTTTGTGTCACATTTGTATAAGAGTGAGTGAGTCCCATTGTTAAAAAAAAGAGAGAAAAATTTAGTGAAATTTACTTATTTTTATGTAAGTGTAATAAAGAAATTCTTTATTTAAGTAAAAACAAAAATATTAAACCGTGTATAGTAACTTCTGAAACAAAGGGAGAGAAAACTAATAAAAAGGGCTTTTATTTAATCTGGCTAAGAAACAAGAAAGTGAGTGGTAGAGAGAGAAGGACTATAGAAGATGAATGAGGGAGCCACGTACCGCCACATACCAAGGTGACTCCAGGATTTGCCTAAGAGCCAACCTTGCTTATAATTAACCCCATTCTGTTACCAAATAGCCTCCCCCAGTTAGTGACTGTGTCTTTCCTTCTTTTTTTTCCAAATTGTCGCCAAATTGTAAACCATAACCTATAGCACTCTCTTAGTTCCATGGCTATTGGAAGCACCGATGCGCCACTTTGCACTAGCAAATTTGCCCCCTCAATTTATATGCTCCTTCTCCACTCTTTACTAGATATTTATCTTTTGGTCTTTCACCATTTGTTATCCATTAGTGTTGAAATTATATTAATGCATTCTTTTAATTAATTTAGATAATGCTGATTAATTATGAGGAATCTTGGAAAGATTTGACCCTAATTGCCCTACCTTCTGTACTAAAAAAATTTAAGAGTAAATATTCTTTTCGGTCCTCATCAAATTTCATGATATCCGCTTTAATCCCTAACAAATAAAAAGGTTATTCGTCGTCTCTAAGAAATTTAAAATGGACCCATTTTAGTCAT